TACAACCTACTTGGTAAAAAAATATTCTAAGAATATATTTTTATTGCAATTAAAAACTATATTTTATTCATTCTACTTATAAAGTTATAAACTGCATTTTCCGAGAATCTGAGCATATATTAATTACAATGATATTTTAACTACTACAAATTAAAACTAAATAATACCAAAAGTGAAATTCATGTCTAGCGAAGTGTTACAATGTTTAGTCGTTTAGTGTTTATTAGAGTTTGTCCTTGTTTTGTTATTTTTTATGTAAGATCATAATATTATATCCTAAGAAAATGAATTAAGTTTGAATAAAATATAATATCTTTTAATATTACGAAAGCAAATAAAATAAACTTTATAGATGGCTAGAATATTTAGTAAAATACATATTTAAATTTCAGACCTCGGTATTACTTAAGCGTATGCTTTAATTAATTATAAATTATTGTATATGTTATTTTTGATAATAGTTTACTATCAATATAATATATACCGCGTGTCCACGAAAACAGGTTAGATTTTTAATTAAATTACCCATATATTACCCATATATTACCCATATATTTTGGAACTCGTCTAATATGCTACATACCGTAAAATGATATCTTCCAAAAAACTGTATGCGTGTAGACGTGTAGACGTGTAGTATGCTACCGTAGTTGTTTTTATTTTATTTCATTTTATTGCGGGAAAGTACATTTGAGTCATTTCGATAAATAACATAATATTATAACAGTTGTACAAAATTATAACTCAATAGCCATTATGATAACTGATAAACCAAGACCCATGATAACTTACTTTTAGATACCTATATTATTTTAGTCTATGTTGTGTCGGTTGCGTACGAGTTGATTCCCGTGTACCTGTTTACCTGCACTGATACCGTTGAGTTGATTCCCGGGTCATTAAAAGGTAGGTCGTAGGTACGTACGAGTTGATTCCCTGGTCATTATATATTATTTTCAATATTTAGTCAAATATTCAGCCTATTAGCCTAATTCAAGAAACACCACGAGGAGGTTGGCTGACAAGTTTTTCAAAAATGTTGTTCTTTTTAATTGTTTTTTATTTTGAAAAATCATTCAATTTTTTGTTAAAAAATTATTATTAAAAAAATGTAGTAGGTAAAAAAATATTATTAAAAAATGTAGTAATTAGGTAAAAATTCTTATTAAAAAAATTTAGTAATTTGGTAAAAATGTATATCACATATTCACATTGCTTTTAAAAATTGGTACAATCTGTTAATGAGATTGCAGTATATCGTGATTCGTGATCGTGACATAGACTCGGGAATCAACTATTACATACCTAATAACGACCAGGGATTCAACTAATACATAAAGTAGGTCCCGGGAATCAACTCAACTATACTGCGGTTGTGTCTGTGTTGTGTTCAGGTATGTGTTCTATTCGTTGCAAGTTTTACTTTTTATTTCTTTATTTTAAAATAAACAAAAATGAACAAATCAATGAGCTATTTGTACGGGCATAAATTATGTAAAGAGAAAACATGTGTTAATTATCTTCAAGAGAGAAACTTGCTCCCAGAACTTGGTAGTTAACATAAAAAAAATCATAAAAGGGACTCAAATGGTGATTTATTAAGGCCCCCGCAAATGTGTCATTTTTAAGGAGTTGTGTTTAGGCAATTATTTCGTTTCTGCGATTACTGATCGTCTTTGTGCGTTTAGTAAATTATCATTAGTGTGTGTATATTCCCCTACCATCACCCTCGACCCACATCAATTTATAATACATTGTTACTTCTTATCTGGTTTATTTTCGCACGCACGCACATGCACAAGTCATTTATTGTCTAGATCAAAATATTCAAAACCAATTTATGGACGTGAAATAGCCGTCACACTGACAAAAATTAAGGTACTTCTAGTAGTTTGATTTAAAAAATGTAAAGATGTTTGTGTTGGTAAACAAGTTTACTTTGCATCGGTCGGACCACTTTTTCAATTTTAGCAAATTCTTGATGAGAATAAATATTTTACATTTTATAAATGTATAAAACTTTAGTATTGAGTTTATTCAAAAATATCTATAATATAAAAAATAGACTTGTTGACCAATTAAAATATCTTTACTTTCTTTAAATCGAATCACTAGAAGTACTTTAATTTTTATCAGTCGCTAAGGTCGTTTTGATGAAAAATTAATAGGGTTTGCAGGGGCCTTAAAACTACTTATTTAAGATGTAAAAAAAAGGTTGCCAAACTTATCACTCTTTAAGAAAAAAAATCCTTATTTTAAATATTACAATAAAAATAGTAAAAGTAATAGTGGTTTAGCATTAAGTTAAATTGTTGAATTAGTTTGGTATTGGATGTATCAGCTTCAATAACTGTACAATTTACAGCAAAAACTCATAACACAATTGCAGATTGGAATAATCTCTGTAGAGATGTAGCAGTTGCAATGTTTGATAAACGTTAAAAAATTGGCTTTCCAGGACAAATTGTTCAAATTGACGAGTCACTTTTTTAATTCAAGCGTAAATATAATAGAGGACGATTGAGAAATGGAGGTATAATTCCAAATGTAGATGACAAATGTATCAAGTGCGATGGTGACGATATTGATGATGATCATTCAACTCGAAAATATTACGCTACTCGCATTCAAGCTCCATGGATTCTTGGTAAGTGACAAGTGTTGTAAAAATGTTGATGGGGTTCTAGAACGAACATTTTTTTAAGTGGAAAAAATGAAATAAGGCAACTTTATTACCAATAATAAGAATTAAATAGAACTAGGATTAATTATTTATTCAGATCAATTTAGTGTAGTGAGCATATTATAGTACCTTGAAAGATATAGGTTATCATCATCATGAAACCGTCAATCATTTCTAGTTTATTGTTGATCCTACAAACGATCGAGTGTATATTATGGAGACATGTTAAAACTAAATACGCGGAATTAAAACCCGAGGAGTAACAGATTTGTTAGACCGACAATTAAAAGGAGAATGGCGGTGGTCCATTAATACGCAACACGACTTATTAGAAGTTTTCTGGGATGATGTAAAAATAGTATATCGTCGGCCTAATTCGCAAAGGTCGTATGTCCAAAATTACAAATTGTTCAGGAGAAGAAAAAAACGTTTTACGGCCATATTATTAATTGGAGATACGACGATTTCTAATAATTATCAATTTCATGGAGGATAATATTATGAAATCGGAAATTTGATTGTATCAACAGACGCAGTTTTTTTTTCTTTATTTTATGAGTAAATAATCCCAAAATGACAAAAAATGGAGATACGACTTTTGCGAATTAGGCCGACGATATAGTATAATCTATACTTAATATTATAAAGCTGAAGAGTTTGTTCGTTTGTTTGTTTGTTTGAACGCACTAATCTCAGAAACTACTGGTTCGAATTGAAAAATTATTTTTTGTTGGATAGTCCATTCATCGAAGAAGGTTATAGGCTATTTTATATAACATCACGCTACGACCAATTAATAGAAGAGCTCAAACAGGGATTTTGAAATTTACGATGGAAATATTTGTTTATAAATGGTTTCTATTGGTTATAGGAGAAATGATTAATAGAAATAGTATTTATTAATTATTGGTTGCTATTGGTTAATCGGGCAGACAGGTACACTCATGCATCAAATCAAATTTTCGCACATTTCCTATCAGGGTGGCTGAGTTGCACTTACTGCAGTGAGTTACACCAAAAAGGAGTTAAACAATTACAATTTTTTTATCATTTTTTACCATCCACGAAGTGCGCAGGATCAGCTATATTTTATATAAATGAATGTGTGTGTGCAGATCTCTGGGAAGAAGATAGGCTAATTTAGGAAGGGTTAAATTTACGTACGTTTGGCCAGCCCCCCCCCCCCCCCCCAATGGAAAATCCATAAATGAATTGCGCCGATATTTAGCACGTGATTCGCACGTATTCGCACGCCTAGTTTTGAAATTCGCACGACTCTCCTTCCCCCTCAAAAATCAAAATCCATGGGGGGGGGCAGCAACACGTCTTGCCAGCCCCCCCCCCCATAGTATAAATCAACATTTTCGCAATTTTTTTTTTGCAGATATTTAGCACGTGATTCGCACGTATTCGCACGCCTAGTTTTGAAATTCGCACGACTCTCCTTCCCCCTCAAAAATCAAAATCCATGGGGGGGCCAGCAACACGTCTTGCCAGCCCCCCCCATAGTTTAAATCAACATTTTCGCAATTTTTTTTTTTGCAGATATTTAGCACGTGATTCGCACGTATTCGCACGCCTAGTTTTGAAATTCGCACGACTCTCCTTCCCCCTCAAAAATCAAAATCCATGGGGGGCGTTTTGCCAGAAATTCCTGGATGTCGCTCTGCTGTACTGTAGGTTACAAGTGGGTCACTGTATAATGGATGGTATTAAATTTGAATTCAATGATACAATATCATTGTATAAGAAAAACGATTCTGAGCGAAGACGGTATGTCAGTCTAGGTTTAAGACAAATTATATACATATCTATGGTATTAAAAAAAAAATTGACCTATAATAAATTCCAAATTAATCATATCACATTATCACAATATCCATTAGGTACTTATAACACGTTAAACATCAACATCAATAACAAATCCTGATACTATCATTGATATATAATAGTAAACTTTAGAAGTTTCAAGTAGGTACCCATGAATAATATTATATAATCACAACAAAATAACTGGGTTTTTTAATATGTCATTTCGTCCAAATTTGAACATAAAATGACTATAAAAATAAACTGTGATTGTATATTTTTTAGATTTTTTGGTAAAAGAATTAACTACTTACGTGGGATCTTGTTTTAAATTTTCAATTCTTAGCTATAAAAACTGAATCTAAAAATAAAGCAAAGTAATTCTTTTCTTATTCCAAATCCTCATCTCAAACACATTGACCTGATTAACTCTAAAAATATTAAAAATTTACCTATTATTAAAAATGGATCACGCGCAGAAGAGTTAAAAGGTTGTAAATCAAGTTACATGGATGGAAACATTGTATTAACAAATACATGTGCATTTGATGCATTAGCTTCATTAATAATGGTATATATTTTTTGTTACTTATTCAACTCAATTAAAAAGTATTGTCTATATTAAATTGATTTTATATATTTTAGGTTTCATACTGTGACAGCAATAAATATTCAACAAAGATTGATTTCAATCATAACGAGTTTTTGAACTTTATTTCCAAAATTGTAAAAAACGGAATTACATCGGCAACTTACTCTGAACGTGCAGATTTAATTATAAATAAAACTAAACCTGAAATGCAGCAGTTGCAATATGGTACCATGTTAGTTTGCTGTGATACCACTATTACCAATGTAGTTAATTCAATGTTCAAAGAGTTCCCGTCAGTAACAGAAAAAACAACATGCTCTTCAAACTGTCAATTAACTACGAATTCTTTAAAACTGAAGATTTATTTATCGTATCAGACGGAAAATGGACAAATAAAAGACTTGCAAGGTTTTCTCGATAGTCAACTTAAATCTGTACAATCAACATGTCAATACATGGATTCAGAAATTGTTTGTAAGGGAGTTGAAGAAATTATGCCGAATATATCAGATATGCATTTATTTATCGATGTATTTTATTGGGAAGGTATATTGTTTATCATAACAGTATAATTTATTAATTATTAAATAATAATCTAATATTGAATATTTTTAAAAAGTATAATATAAAATAAATGGAACTTTTTCAGATGGACTTGTTTCTAACAATCGTAGTTCGGAAACCACAGAACAAGTGAAAATGCGACTGTCTGATATCCCAAAACTTTTGGTCTACAACGACATTACATATGAGCTAAGGGGAGTTATTAGTTTTCAACCGGCACAATCAAAGTTAAGGACATCATCAGGACATTATAATGCATACGCTATTCGGGGAACTAAGAATTGGCAATTGTTTGATGACCTCAAGAAAAAACCCACTCCTATAAAAGAAAATAAAAAAATATCAATTGAACTACTCGTATACACTATTTAAGTATTAGTAACTATTTAAAGTATTACTTTTTTATATTATTTTAATACATTGAATCATATTATATTTTAGTCTTTTTTTTAACATTTATTTGAATATACAAAATCTGTAATGATAGTTACAATGAGCAGATGAGTGGAAAAATATAAAAGTTGTCTGTGAAAACGTGAGAAGACTGGGGATTAGCTACCCAGCAGTAACCTTTAATGTAATATATTTTTTAAAATGTAATTTGAAATACCTTAATATTTAAAAACTATCAAACTACAACAAATCTGTTAGAAACCTGCGAAAAAATTTAAAATATTTAAATTGTAAAAAGAAAAATAATAATTTGAAAACAAATGGGTAAGTACTAAGTAGCCGGCAAAGTTCAGATTATAGTTTTAAAAAAATGATGTGAATTGCGTGCTAAATATTTTCAGAAAAAAATTGAGGAATTTCTGGCAAAACGCCCCCCATGGATTTTGATTTTTGAGGGGGAAGGAGGGTCGTGCGAATTTCAAAACTAGGCGTGCGAATACGTGCGAATCACGTGCTAAATATCTGCAAAAAAAAAATTGCGAAAATGTTGATTTAAACTATGGGGGGGGGGCTGGCAAGACGTGTTGCTGGCCCCCCCATGGATTTTGATTTTTGAGGGGGAAGGAGAGTCGTGCGAATTTCAAAACTAGGCGTGCGAATACGTGCGAATCACGTGCTAAATATCTGCAAAAAAAAAATTGCGAAAATGTTGATTTAAACTATGGGGGGGGGGCTGGCAAGACGTGTTGCTGGCCCCCCCCATGGATTTTGATTTTTGAGGGGGAAGGAGAGTCGTGCGAATTTCAAAACTAGGTGTGCGAATACGTGCGAATCACGTGCTAAATATCGGCGCAATTCATTTATGGATTTTCCATTGGGGGGGGGGGGGGCTGGCCAAACGTACGTGTTAGATTTGGTTTTTTTTATTCATCGAATTTTGGTACGAATAGGTTAGGATTATGTATTAATTGATTATATTAATCCACAGTATTATATCAAAATAAACTTGGTATAACTTTGATACTTTAGAGTTAAATTATACACTTACGTACAAACAGCACTAGGTCCTCGATCTACCGTAGGCAGATTGCCTACCTGATAATATACTGCTTCGAAACAGAATTTTAATTCTAGGCAACAGAAAAGTTAAGATACAATATTAACACCATACACCGAATATTAAATAACAAATTGAACAAAGTTTGAGTCATATATAGAGTTGGTACATTTAACGGGCAACGAAGTACTCAGGATCAGCTAGTAATATATAATGACTTATAGAAATATTATATAAAGTACTTAATAACGATAAATTAATAAATTATTTAGTATAAATTTGTTGTTTATTTGTTATTAATAATCAATAATCTGTAAACATTTTTTGGTAGGTAGCATACTACACCAACGAAGTAGTGGTAGGTAGCATATTAGAGTACCCATATTTTTTAAATCTGTTTGTGGGACATGAAACTATAGACTATTGGATCATCAATCTCCAGCAGACTGAATTCTAAAATATGTACAGAATACTGAGTTATGTAGGTAACCGAGATATAGAGTTTACTCAATTTCTAGGACACTCAGTATATTACAATTTAGTTTATTAGTTTTGTACTTTTCTATTTTTATATAAAAATAAGTTTTTCTTTTTAGCATTCCGGTATAAACAATTATTTATTAGAATTATGCGTTAGGTGAATAATATATAATATAATAATATATATATATATTATATTATATACATATACAGCTGAAGGTTACATTTACATTTAAATTAGAATGAAGATACTGAACAATGCTGAATTTAATAATTTTAAGCAACCTTCAACGATTATTCATTAAAAATATACAGTGTATTGTATATGTATTTATGTATAGTGTATTTGTATGTAAACACAGAGTTAGTTTTCAAACAAATATATTTATACATCGTCGTAAGTATTGGGAAAGGGAGTTCCTCCGCTGCAACAGCCCCCAATACAGGTTCTCCTATTATTATACAATGTACACGAATGAATACAAAAATCAAATTAATAATAACTTTCCATATTTACAAAAAAATATATAAAAATCTAAAAAAAATCCTGGCACGATATATCATACATTAATATAGGTACATATAAGAGTATTGGGATTCTTGTATTTCCTCGTTCTCCTCATATGAACTTCCAAGGGATGAAGGGAAGCTAATAAGCTATATTATAGTATAATATATAGTAAATAGTAATATTACTAGATATTATAAGTGTCTGAATACATTTGTTATTAAGAGGACGCCATATCCACATATATGTTGTCTCTGCCTTACAAACGCGTAACATCCCAAATTTACGCTCAGAAATTCAAGTTGTATGCCGTTAGCTTAAAAATTAGAGTGAATTATGAAACTTGGTGGTAAGAAAATTATCTGTGTTTTGTTGGAAGTTTTTTTACGACAATTCAGCGAGTTATGAACATTTTTAATTTACATTTATTATACACGCTTTAACTCACTTAAAAACAGAATTATAGTAAAAAAACATCCAAAAAAACACAGATAATGTTCTTACCATCAAGTTTCATGATAGGTCGATTCACTCTAATTTTTAAAACTTGAATTTCTGAGCGTAAATTTGGTATGTTACGCGTTCCTAAGACGGTGACAACACATGCGGGTGTGGCGTCCTCTTAAAGAAGACTGCCCGACCTGTGAACTATGTGGCAAAGAACTGACGATGAAACATATCACACTAGAATTCCCCAAGATCAACAGCTCTAGACAAATTCTCGGAATCCCATCAACGATGCAACAAGCACTCGGTGAAGAAAATTCCAAAAACATAACAATTTTTTCAAAAATATAGGTTTAGCAAAATGATTGTAAAAAAAAATACATTAATATATATTTCAGTATTTCACAAACTCTCTCTACTGTTCAACATAATGTATCCTCATAGTTTTAAGACCAATACTATGTAATTATTACAGGTTAAAGACTTCAGAAGTTGAAGCTTTATTTTGGGTTAGCTCAACGCAATAAAATAAAAAAAATTGTTATTGATTCTTTCAAAGTATCATTTAAACTAATTTTTCTAGCTCTTAAAATAGGTATTGTAGAAAAATGTTGAGTAGGCAATGAATAATGATGTATTAACTGCTAAATTATTGTACAAACATATTGTAATAAAATGTGTATACCTATACCTACCTAAAATCTACATACTATAAAATAAATAGTAGGTAATAGTAATATAGTATATTAGAATATACCTACTAGGTAGTATTACTACTTTAAAACTATCAACCACTGAAAAATATTGTTATCAAAATAATTGTTTGTTCATGGTATTAATTAAGTATTCAGTAAGTTCAAAATTGTAAGTGTGGAATTTTAAATTTTAACTAATATTGTCTGATATAGATTATTTGAGTCATTTTTAGAATCTAAGACGAATAGGTATTTAAGTAAAATTACTTCTCATTTTATATGAGGATTCGATTGACGATTGTTCTATATAATATGATAACATTTATTTAGCTAACACGTTACGTAAATTAATATAATTTAAGTGAGCGAGGCCACTTTTACTTAACATCTTTCAAAACGAAATCATTGAGTTATACTCAATAAGTCAAGGTATCGAGAAGGCCGTTGTATATAATAAAAAGTTAAAAATGTATAGGTAGGTACTCTTTTATTAATCAATTCATTATTTTAACATAAGACAATATTTCTGTGCACTTACCGGAATGCTTATATTAAATGTATCTTATGTATAGGTCGTTTACAGATCTACATAATATTATATGTTCACATAATATATTAGTATAGTCATTTTCAATAAACAATATTTGTTAACGATTGTCGTTTAAAATTATCTTTTGTGCAATAAATGTTATATACTTATATATAGTACCTACGTCAGTACTTATGTAATAATTATATCATAGGTGTATCGTATATAACATTTTATAATAAACCTAATCATTATATTAATTATAAAATATAAACGATTAAAACTTAATATATATATCTATTTCTAACATATCTATATTTTTCGTTAATGGCAGGGGCTGATTTATAATTTTTATGGCCAGGTAAATAGACCATATACTACTATAATACTGGGCACCTACTATAAATTAAAGCAACACATCACAACTATAACTATAAAGAAAATATCTCAATTTGCGATAATATTATACATTTTAATCCCTGCAGTTTATAAGCGCGTGTACCTACTACCTACTACCTCTTGTTTGTATGAGTTAATTTACAAAAAGCTATAATATACGTCTTTATAGTCTTTAACATAGCCAATAATACTTCATATAAATATATTTATAGACTTATAGCTTATCGTTTACCAGTTGTTAATTATTATTTATTAACTGTTTATAGGTACCAAATAGCTACGCGAGTATTTAATTTATATATTTTATATTATATAGGGACATATTTAGCTACGTGGAGGCCTCTGGACCCATATTATTAGATATGGATCTATTTTTTCTATTTTTTTCCTAAGAGTAACTTAGCAACCACTACTAGATCTAGGTAGGAGGCGTGTTTATTAAAATTAAAAATAAATTACTGAATACAAATGTGCATATTAATTTTCAACGCATATTTTGTACTACTGCATTTTTATTTCTATCAAAGGAAATATTAATCTTTATTGATACATACACTACATTATAGTATTATACATAGATATTATTATTTATTACATTAATAATTCAATAACGCGTAGCACATTAACACGTATAAATGTATAATAATAATTAAATATTCGGGGTAATTGACGATTGCATCGGCCGGTAGACTGCAAATTGAATAGCGATAACCATATAAGCATCACGCATGATGGATTTCTACTGCCGTAAGTATAGGAATTTATTAATTTTATATAGTTACTCATAGGCACCCATAGAGGGAGGTTGGTGCTTAGGGGGTTTAGAGACTAATTATTTTTGAGTTTTTTAAACTTGGATAACTTTTTTTGTTCTGATATCAAAAAAATAAAAATGACGTTGCACAGTAAATGTTTTCTTCTTTATAGTGTGGAAATTTGATTAGATTGGACTACAACCTGAGTGGTTCTAACCCATAGCAAAACAGTTTTTGCTATGTCTTGCATGTATAAGACGGAGACAACACATGCAGATTACAGACGATTTGATTCATTGCTATTTACATGTATAAAAATTTGAAATTATTGCAATGCAGTCTACAATAGTATTAGGGGGAGTGGGGGAAGCCCCCCACTTATATGTGTACCATAAATTAATCCTGCCCCCCCTAAATGCACATCCAATATGCGCCTATGTCATTAGTCATTACTATAGCCTATATCATTACTCTGCAGTGGTGAATTTACGGAGGAGAGATATAAGAATACTTTACTTCTCCCCTCCACCAGAAAAATGTTGAAAATCCGCCACTGATTTTCTTCAACCGTTTTTCAATGTGTTTGAATATTGAATTATGATTATACAGCACTGTTTTCAGCATAAAAAGATAGTAATATGGATACCAGTATATAAAACGTAAATACGTAATCATGAAATATATAATAAAATACAAGTGGCCAAGTGCGAGTCGGACTCGCCCATGAAGGGTTGCGTAGCAGAAAGTAACATAAATAATAAGTAACTTTGATCGATTTTTATATGATTTTTTTTTTATATTTGAGTTGATTGAATGAAAGGTAAATTGCGGTTTACGATTTATGACGTATTAAAAAAAACTACTTACTAGATCTCGTTCAAACCAATTTTCGGTGGACGTTTACACGGTAATATACATCATATATTTTTTTAGTTTTATCATTCTCTTATTTTAGAAGTTATAAGGGGGGGACAAATTTTAAAACTTTTGATGTGTCTCTCTCGCAAACTATTCAGTTTAGAAAAGAATGATATTAGAAACCTCAATATCATTTTTGAAGACCTATCCATGGTCCATTAATACCCCACACGTATGGGTTTGATGAAAAAAAATTTTTTAGTTTCAGTTCTAAGTATGGGGAACCCCCAAAATGTATTGTTTTTCTTATAGTTTCGGAAAAAAGTGGCTGTGACATACGGACGGACATAAAGACAGACAGACAGACATGAATTAATTTAGCATGCTGCCTATTACCCCAATAATGGGGTAAAAAGACGCATTTGTTATAATTCCTAATTATTCAGAATTTTTGGTATTTGCTTTGGTAAAATCAAATTTTGACTTGAAAATTGAAATCTACGTAATATTTATGATAGGAAAACAATATAACAATATTTCTAAAACGTGCAGTATATGCTACCACATACCAGCTGTTAAATGTTAGGTGCGCCATTATACCCCAGGTTACTCTAATGGGTGTGTTAAATTTAAACTCGATGATATAAAAAAATTGTACACAAAAAACGATTCTGAGCGAAGATGACGGTCAGCCTATATTACTAAGTATATATTTTATTGCTATCAATGTAATTTATTTAAAAACTATTGGAAATTATAAGTAACACAGTCATAGGTAGCCGGTTGAATTATTTTTTGCCAAAAATATTGTATTTGAAAATGTAATCGTGTGTATACAATATAATAATATTCTTTAAAAGTTTCAACTTTCAAGTACCGGCCCATGTAGCGGATTTGATTCGTCTTCCGTGGGGGGTGGGGGGCATCCTTTTGGTTCAAAA